AGTATTTTTGCAAGGTGGTGGGGATGGAGATGGGGAGTGTTATTTTGATCGTGTGTTCTTTGCATAATGGATGTGGAGAACTGTTAATAACGTTTAAATAGTCTGAGATTATTTCCTTGTGGTTTGTATAAAAAGGTTGGAGACGGAGACAGAGAGTGTTATTTTGTGCGTGTGTTCTTTGCGTAATGGATGTGGAGAACTGTGAAATAACGTGCTTAAATAGTCCGAGATTGTTTCCTTGTGGTGACAAACGTGCAGTGACTCAGGTTCATGCCAGCTGACCAAATCGATTGCATTGTTATAGCGTTATTGTGAAGTTTAATTAATATTATGTTGTTATAATATTATATGTTGTATGTAAATATGTTGTATGTATGTATATCTGGAGTTGTAACAAAAGTAATTCCCCCCTGGGATTATTAAAGTATGTCTGATTCTGCTTCTGATTAATAGCGCATATAGTCATCTGAGAACTGATGATGTCTGTGTTTCAGACTCTGGCTGTGTGCACTGAAGTGTATATGACAATAGAGTAGTGAATCTCAATGTATTTATTTTTAAAATGTATTTTAAATAGGCCTATAGGCTCATAGGTTTTTTGTCCAAAAAAAAAAAAAAACACAAATTTTTCACAGCACCCCCTGTTCAAAATGACTTCCAGTGGCCTTGATGTGGCATGAAAGTTGATTAACTTTTTATGAAAAATACGAATCAAATCAAAACTGAATCAAACTGTAGAAATGACCCAAATATACAGATAAGAACTTTAACCCGGGTTTTTGGAATATATGACGTGTTCTTATGAATACTCATGATTAATTGTTAACCCCAGTTTGAAACGTGAAGCAAAGCATAACAGGATTCTGCTTACCTGGGTTTTAGAATGACACAGGATTAACAAATTCAAGTGTGAAAAGCCCTTCTGAGGTGGTACAATCGGCCAGCATTATGCAAATACGTGACATGGTAGCTACGTCATGGAAATAATGGCAGGACCACAAATGAGGCGTTTTTAGGCAGCTGTTTTCTGTTGGAGAGATTAACTTGGTTTGGACTTTGCTTCGTAATTTTGCACATTGTTTACATTCACAAACAGCTATATTACACACTAAGGTGCTGTATGTAACTTTTTTTACATGTTACAAGCATAAAAAATACCATAATAAGTTTGCAGAAGTTCACATACGCGTTTCTCTGAAAAACACTTCTACAGCCAGTTATTGTACTTATTATTTTACACGTTCCGTGATGTCAGTCGGGTTTTGTTTTGGTCTGTGTGATCTCGCCCACTGCCAGTTCACCCAATAGTATTTCGACACCCCGGGACGCTAGTTGACAGGAAACACAGCGTATCGCAGCCTTGAAAACTAGCAAACAAACTGGTCAGAGATTGCAGATTCCACACAACCTAAAAAGCCTCGGTATCCATCTAAAAATCTCTAGGAACGACAGCATATTAAAACACTGATAAATCACCTCATTAACTTACGTAATGCTACGTTTCGTAAGTCTCCTCGGTTTTCGTCGTCAATTGCGCTCGCTCCTGTTGCGTGTCCTGAAACTGGCAACCCGCGTGAGCATCGAGTCTGAGGAGCGGGGGGCGGGGGAAACAACGGCCTCTGGTATTTTGAATTAGGACTGCAGTACCTATTCCGACCACTAGCTGGCATTCTTACAGACAGCACCTTTAGGTTCCACAGCTTATTAAGGCTGTGGTAAGATGGGGGCGCTTATACACCAGTCAGTCACTTGTGTCATGGTGGTGTTTTGGACATGAACCAGACTACCACGGTATATGACTTGCATGGTATTACCCTTTGATACCAGAAGGAGGAATATGAAACAGTGACATGTTCATAATTATGTATTCTCCTTGCTTTTGTTTTATTGATATGTCTTGCATAAATTGTGTCTCTTTTAATGTCAAGAACAGAAGACATCAGGCCACATATTTTTGTTGTCGAAGTCTTTTGATCTCATGTGTGTTCTCATGTAAACTTGTGTTTATGACTATATTGTGATTTTCAAGTTGAAATTGTATGTAGCACATAACAGTGAATGTAAAATATGTATTTTAGGTATGGAAGTGGCATATTTTGAGTTTTGTTATTTGGGATTGGGTCATTTGGCTATTTGGGCTGGTTTATGCTTGTTTTGTTTCACAATCCTTATCCTATTCACATTTCTAGCCTATCTTTTTTCACAACTGAAGAAAATTAGCGAAAATAAGCGGTACATTACCATTTAGGGAACAAATGCTTGCTACATACTAATGTATTTGTACTACAGCAGTAGAAAAACAAAATAGTTTAAAATCTAGAATCAGTTTCATGTTTAGCCCTAGTCAAGCATGGAATGGTAAAAGGTTTTTTTTTTTTTTTTTTTTACCAGTATTGGATAGTAAAGGGAAAAAGTGCTTGGAGAGTCTGCTGGAATAGCATAACTAACATGTTTGAACTTGTAGGGTACACCTGGGCTATAGCACATCTTAAAGGGGGGGTGAAATGCTGTTTCATGCATAGTGAGTTTTTACACTGTTAAAGAGTTGGATTCCCATGCTAAACATGGACAAAGTTTAAAAAATAAAGTTGTAAGTTTGATGGAGTAATTCTGTTCCAAAAATACTCCTTCCGGGTTGTCACAAGTTTCGGAAAGTTTTTTTCGAATACGGGCGTGTGTGACGTCAGAGTGGCCGGAATTTCCTTATACGGGTCTTAAGGGCACTTCTCCCGGAAGGGCGCGCGCGCATCTGTAGCCTAGTGCGTGCGAGAGTACGCCTATGCCCATCAGAGCGCTGGGCTCGGCTGCGCTGCAATAGCTTGTTTTCATATGACGTCACGCTACTGCGTTGCCATGGCGCGAAATGCAAATGGAGGGCAGGAAGTGATTTGCTGTATTTAGAAAGCACTATAACAAACTCAAAATGCCTATGTTTTGCCTCGTTTATGGTTACTTAAATCGATCAAACCGCGAGGAGTTTTTATCGTATACCAAAAGTTGTTGTTCATAAGGGGGGAAAATGCAAGACATTGACCGAAAAACTCCGGAAAAACGGCTTGCAAATCTAGCTACGTCTGCGGTCGGGAGGAGCCGAATGGGAAAATGCCCGTGTGTGCAGTGATCACTTCATCAAATGTGAGTTAATACAACTTAAGTGGCTATGTTTGTGTAACGTGTAACGTTTCCGAACTTTGTAAAGTCAAAGTATGTCTGTAAGACGAGGTAGTTGCTGATATCTACCGCCTCGATGGCAGGAAAATCTTTCAATTCAGTTGAAAATCGCTCCTCTTCATAACGTAAGGATCACGTCCAACATATGTTTGATTTTTTGTTTATATCTTTCTCTTGTAATAGCGTGTAAAGTAGTACAGTACGGACTTTCCTCCATCTCGTCCATTGCGCTCTTCACTCCCTGCCCTCCATCTGAATTTCGCGCGTCATCATAATCACGTGACTGAAACCCAGCTATTAAAAAATGGCACCAAAAAAGTGTGTTTTTGGTTGCCAGGGCAAGACAACACTGCACAAATTTCCAAAGAACCCAGCGTTAAGGGACCTGTGGATGGATTTTGTTTTTCCAGAGCAGCAACGGAGTTGTGCAAGTGTTTTTGTTTGTTCCCTTCATTTCGACGGTAATAGTTTTATAAACAAGGCCCAGTTCAACGCCGGATTTGCAGATCGCCTAATACTTCTTGAGTGGAGAAGTCTCAAATCTCATCTTTAGATGGAGCAGTCCCAACGATAAAGGTTCACGGTCGTGCGTTGGAACCGCAGGCGGTGAGTAAAACTGCTTCAAATGTCTGTGTTGTTAACTATCGGCGTGTAAGCACAGCAAGTAAACAACATGATCACATACAGTTAATGTATCTATGGAGCATGCGATGTATGGTGTGTGTGTGTGTTTAAATACATTTGTTTAGCTGGCCACTGTAGGTGTCAGTTTGTTTATTGTAAAAATAAACCATGTCCTCATAAACCACGAGTCTGTCTGTTTACAACACACAAATGTTGTAAAACTCGCGCATGACATGGTGTTCTAAAAACACTGCGCTCAAGTTCAAATCATTTCTATTTTTAAAAAAACGCTCGAGACCTTATGTTTTTCACCCATTTCACTGCCCATCGCGTTCTGTATGAACGAGCCCTTAGTATTGTTTAGATCCTTGTTCTGATTACTATCTGATTATTAGCCATGGTTTATTTTCGGATGTCACTCACAGCTTCCAGACGCTCTCAACGCAAAAGCTTCGCGCGCTCGTGTCGTGATTATTTAGCTCCGCCCACACGGCACGCCTCCACCCGCTCGGGTTTTTCCGGAAAGACTCGGTACAGCCTATCTTTCTTTTATAAATATAATAAAACTAAAGACTTTTTGGAGATATGAAGGATGCAATACTACTCTATAGGTACTCAAGATGAACATGAGATTGAGTGAAACTGAGTGTTTCACCCCCCCTTTAAGGAAAACATGTTTTTCGTTAGTCAGGGAGGGAGGTATGAACACTCACACACACCTAATTATTTTCTTAATTATTATTAACTTAATTATTAAGTTTTTGTTAAGCTTTTATCTGTTGTGGTTTATCTTTTTTCATTTCGTGTCTTCTTGTTGCATTACTATTTGTTATTTCTCTCCCTAACCATAGACTGGGGTAGGAATTAGGAACACATTTTTATTATAATACATTCACTCGGTTACAAAACTAACATGCAACTCAGAAGGGGCGCCAACACAATGCGATCACAACCACACACTTGTCACAAATGCCCAACATCTAATGCAGCCTTACCACCATACAATTCCTACAACGCCACACCACACAATTACTTATAGCCTATACCATTGAAAACCCATGATTCTGGCCACATAATATACAACATCAACGTTAAAAGCAACATGATTATGTGACACTCAAAAAAAAGGAAAGGATAAATGTGAGAAAAAATATATATCCATAAATGCAATGAACTATTCAAAAGCAATTAAGATAATTACCTACCGAACCGTGACTGGAATCTGTTGTTTAAATGACAGATCATGTGCAAAAACCACCGTAACTGATACTTCCACAAGAATCACTTCCTTAGACAAATGGTCTATTCCAGTACAAATGGTCCCTCCCACACAATGATAAAGGTCTGTTTACATGCCATATCAGTCCAGTGGTTTTATAAGTCACATATAAAGAGTATTTTTTGTCAAGTCATGCCTGGGTCACATTTCACACCAGAATCAGAAAGAAAGGCACATTAAGTTAATTTGTCATTAACTACATCTCAATCTAGATGCTCACGAGTTGTAAGAAAATGTATAAATTAGTAAATCTTTTCCCACAAACATTCCTCTGTTGTTTCGCTCGTGCTGTTTCAGATCCTTTTCATGCATTCCCAGATGGGAAGAATAAAACAAACAAACTTTCCTCAAAGTTTATTGGTCAAATTATCTGCTTGTTATGCATATTCATTTATCATAGAAAAGACTTGTACTTCTGTTTGCCATGTATATGTTTTTACCTCAAAACCATATTTGTGGAAGTTTTACTCTTTAGAAGACTGAAATGTGTTAACTTCAACATAATTGAAGATGAACAGGAAATTCTGTGTGCTGTAAGTGCATCAGATAACTTGCTACATTTCCTTGCATATCAGTCGAAAACAAACCCTTACATGCACGGCACAACCTCAGGGCTCAAAACCTTCATTTGTCCCCTTACATTTAAGAGTTCCCTGTAAACAATCATTCTGTCCTCCTCCCAAAAATACTCTTTTCATAATTATTGTATATCGAGTAGAAAGTCTAGTTTAAATATATTACATAATACATGTTCCACACAATAAAATCAACAGAATGATAGTTGATAGAATGATAGAAATGATAGAATGATAGAAATCAGGGTTTGAAATTAACTTTTTCACTCACCAGCCAATTTGGGTACTACATTTTTAGTTTACCGGCCATTGAGAACTTCTACTAGCCAAAACAAAATGGTCATTAATAAATCAGATTATCAAAGTTACATCTTAGATTTAAAGATATTTATTATTAAATCTGATTCTGAATCATTGAATCGCCTTTAGCCTTATGACAACCATATACTGTACGGAACTTCACGCATACCGATAAAAAAAAAAAAAAAAAATTCTCTGTGACTTCTCTTGTAATTTTAACAGCATTTATTTGTAGTAAACTCCCAATATAGCTCACTCAAAATTAATGTTTAAATTTAAACGTTAATTAGCAGACAGGCTGTCAATTCATGCCTCTTTCGTCAGCATTGACTGCAAATGCTTCTTCAACGAAAGCCACGAGTTTACCTGTGCATAGCAATAAAGATGCTATAGGGCGCTTTTTGTGCTAAAGTCTTGGACATGCGGCATTCATGAGACTGGGTCGGAGAAAGTGGCCTCTTAATTGTCTCCTAGGACTCCAGCAGAGTGCTAACACTGGTCGCGTCACTTTGTAGCTACTTGCATTCTCAAGTTCAAGGCGGCAGTCCAAAACAGTGAATCTAATCACCAATACAGGCAAAAGTTCACTTCAAGAATTAACAAATTGGCATCAATGAGTTTGAATTAAGGTATTTGGGGGGAACAAAAACGGCGCAAACGTAAAGGCAATCTAGGCTATATTATTAGGAAGCAAAATACTTTATTCAAGCCACAAAAAACTAATTGTAAATGCACAATACACAATCTTTTAGCCAAGGATGAAGTCAGTATGTACATATATTTGTCCCAAATCTGGGACGCAGTATATCAATTAATTGATATTAATATAAATTATGAAAAAAACTAGACAAAGGGAGTCACAGAAGGGCCTACAGATATATCACTTGTTAAAATTAAGAGTTCGATTGTAGGAAGAAAAGTGGTTGAAGCAAAAAGACTACCGTAGCCTATGTGTAGAGATGGAGAAAAACTGGACAGTTTATCAGTTGCCTAACAATTTGATGAGAAGAAGATGCCAGATAAAGTTAACTTACATTGGATATGTAAGTTATATAGTTCCCTATACTACTATACTATTCCCTGTTCCTATACTACAGAAACACCTATACTGATGTTTCAAATGCCCAAAATACAAGAATGTAGCAGCTGTTTGAAAGGGTAAACAACTATGTGCTAGATGTGGCAGTGGTCATGAATATAAAAACATGCCAGCATGGAACGAATCTAAAGGGCTAAGTGTCACGTGAGGATAAATCAGGAAGTGTGGATGCAATTGCAGGTGAAAAGTTAATTTAATGAAACAACAAACAAACACAAGCTACAAATCAAAACTCCCTCAAGGGGGAAAACGGGAATAATACAGACCATGAACAAAAACGCTAGGAACCGGGTACTTGGATAAACGAACCAACACTGAACTGCAAACACAACAGAGACTAAATAGAGAACAAACACAGAAGGCTAATTACACGACAAGTGAGGAAGGTTAACCACTAAACAGATCACTGGATGGGCGAGCTAACAATTAGACAGAAGAACACATGGCCAGGAATACACAGAAGCCCTGTGCTCACATGAAACTAGACTTAACATAAACATGAGACAGACAGGAAATGCCATAGCTCTGTCACCACACAAAACTAGTAACAAAAGCAGAAGTGACAGAGCTATGACACTAAGAATCTAAATTAATTTTAGTTAAAGTGTTATTTTTTATTAAAGTGTATTTAACTATTTTAGTCAGTGTATTTTATTCCTTTCCAAGTAGAATGTACATACTTTCCCAGGACAAAAGACAGAAGGAACACCATCCAATATTGCCCTGTCTTTCACATCTCCATCCCAACCACCCATATGGAAAAGGTTTGCTAAAAACACCTGTGATTCTTATATGTTCCAACAGAATATTGTAAGGGACATATATGCTGCAAAATCCACATATATAAATTGCATAATATTAATGTATTTTTAATCATATATGTCATATACTGTATGTCCTAAGTACAAAAGCCATATAGATTTTCTTGATGTAAAAACGTAGGAAAATAATGCTAATTTAATATTCATGTCCAGCATATATCTTAAAGTATTAAAGTATTAGCTCACTTTCAAACTCACCCTGATGTCATCCAAGATATCCATGTCTCTCTTTCTTAAATGTTTTATACACAGAATGGACTTCAACCAACTATTGGCAACCAACTATTCAAATGTTCAAAGAAGTTTCAAATATATATATATCTATTTATTTATTTTTTAGAAAATGACCGATCGTTTCACTAGATAAGACCCTTATTTCTCGACTGGGATCGTGTCGAGACTTTGAAGCTACATTGAGACGGACATTTGAACCTTCTTTGAACATTTGAATATTTGGTCTGAATATTTGAAAAATCCTGCTATGTTTTCCTCAAAAACCTTCATTTATTTTGGACTGAAGAAAGAAAGACATGGATATCTTTGATGACATCAGGGTGAGTAAATTATCAGATTTTTTTTTTTTTTTTTGAAAGTAAACTAATAAAACACAGTGCAGTTTACCAATCAGTGTAAGGCTGCAGTTCACTCATGCTCTTGCTCTTATCTTGTGGAGCCCTAAGAGGAGCCCTATGCCTAGTCAATCATGGTCATACTGTATAATCAACATTAGATGAAACACAATATTTAAAACTACACACACACAAGCACACATTTTAATTACAAAAAATATTTATTAGAGTGTATTCTACAAGATACAGTTGAATATTTTACATATCAATAGTTTTTTATTTTAAATTCTGCATCACCAGATTTCATTTTCATTTGTGACAATTTCTCTAAACTTTATCACAGTACTAAGATAGTATACTGTTCTTAACCTACAAACATAAAACTTTCCTCAATGTCGAAGTGATTCTTATTCATATCACCACCAGAGTTCATGTCACATATACAAAAATATATTCCAGCCAATTTCCAACATTTTATTCACTGTTCTAGAAACATTATTTGACTCAACTTTGTTAATTTGCCGCACCCTCTGATCTAAATAACACTGATGAGTTACATCCGGGACATTTACGCGCTGAGCGCGACGAAACGAGCTGAGACTTTTTACACAGACGCCATTTTCTTTGATTCGCGATGCAAGGCATGCGACGAGGGAAAACGCATGGATTAAGTGTTTTATCGCAGTTAAATATGCATTTTATAACGTCTTATTGTTTTATAACAATGTGTATGTGCTGTGCACGGCTAAACCGCTCTCAGGGGGGCATTTCCGTTGACGCGCGATGCAGATCAGACCAGGATGGCGTGGGTTTGCTTTTTAACAGGAAAACGGCGAAAGTAAGTGTTTTATCTAATTTACAATATGTATTTTATAATATATTGATTTATAGCAATATTTAAATGCTTTGCGCGCTTAAACGAGCCGAAACTTTTCTCAAAGGCGACGATCTTCTTTGACTCAATACGGAGCTGACGACGAGGAGGTTTGCTTGTAACGTTAACAGGAAAACACCGGAAGTAAGTGTTTTTAACCTAATTTACAACATGTATTTCATGGCATTATATTGTTTTGTAACGATATGTATGTGATGTGCGCGCCTAAACCTTTCTCACAGACTAGGCCCACAGACGATTAGGCCTGCGTCTTCTTTGAGTCGTGACGCAGTGCTGACACGGAGTTTACTTTTAACAGTAAAAACAAAAAGTAAGTGTTTTAACTCATTACAATACGTGTTTTATATTGAACAAAAGGAAGCTGGAGCGCTGCGGGTATCCCTTGTATCCTCTGGTGCTCTTGGAAGGGTTGAATGTTCGTAAAGTTTGGAAGAAAAATCCAAGTCCAGGCACTCAGTGGGTTACAAAAGTAAAAATCGCGTTGGTGTTTTTTAATGGTTTAGCCCTCGCTTTAATAATAATAAAGGCTTTTTTACTTTTGTAACCCACTGAGTGCCTGGACTTGGATTTTTCTTCCAAACTTTACGTGTTTTATATTGTTTTATGACAATATTTGTGATGTGCAAATATTAAAAGCATGTATTTATCCTCAAACTATCTTTTACTCTCGTTTACCAGCACACCTAGTATAAGTTAACTGAAAAACAGAAGAACAACACAGACTGCAGACCAACAATGCACGTGAAATGGTCACTTTATTTCCTTTTTTGGAGGACCAATTTTCT